TCAGCGTAAAATTCTAAGTCGATTTAGCCATGTCCGTCTGTCCGTCTGTCTGTCTGTCTGTCCGTCTGTCTGTCTGTTGTAATCACGCTATCTCTCGAACGAACTGAGGTAGAAGGCTACAATTTTGCACACCTGTTTATTTTTCCAGTAGGCAGGTTATGTTCGTAAATGGGCCATGTAGGTCCACGTTTTCATAAGGCCCCCATATAACGGTATCTCCCGATATTCGGCATTTTTAATGATCTTAGCGACATTATTCACCGGAAATGTTTCAACTTTGGAATTTCAAGTTCGAAATGGATACTACAGCCCATGACAGAAAATTTTCTGGGCAGGTCCACGTCTTCGTATAGCCCCATATAATGGTACCTCCCTATATTCGGTATTTTGATGATTTCTGCGGCATTATTCACCGGAATTGTTTCAAATTTGGTATTTGAGATTCGTGATAGATACTACAGCCTATGACAGAAAATTGTCTGTTCAGGTCCAGGCCTTCGTATAGCCCCATATAAAGGTACCTCCCAAAATTCGGTATTTTTATGATTTTAGCGCCATTATTCACCGGAATTGTTTCAAATTACGTATTTAGAGTTCGTAATGGGAACAAAAGTCTGTGACAGAAAAATGTCTATGCAGGTCCAAGTCTTCGTATAGGCCCCATACATCAGTACCTCCCTATATTCGGTATTTTGACGAGTTTAGGTACAATACCCACCGAAATTGTTTGAGATATCGTATTTGACGTTAGTAATGGATGCAATAGGCTGTGACAGAAAATTGTCTATGCTGGTCCAGGTCTTCGCACAGCTCCGATATAATGGTACCTCCCTATATACGATATTTTGATGATTTTAGCTACATTATTCACCGTTTATTTCAAGTTTCGAATTTGAATATGGTAATGGCTAATGGCAAACAATGCCTGTGTAGGTCCACGTCATATAGACCTCAATATAACGGCATTATTCGGTATTTTTGAAATTTAACAGAATTTTTTAAGGATTTTATTTTTTTTTTAAATTTCCAAATTCGTTCCAAATGGTGGAGGGTATTCAAAGTTCGACCCGGCTGAACTTACTGCTTTTTAGCTTATTATTTTCTATTTTAAACTTACAAAAAAAAAAATATTAAATACGGCTCCAACCGACATTTGGTTCCAACTTAAACATATCTCTGAATCAGATCTAGTTCAGAAAGCCTTGAATGTTTATACCTCTCTAAAAGTTTGAAACCCGAGTTCGTACTTTTCAAACCTAGGACATTACAATATGTTACATGCTAATATGTCCAGGGAACATACAATAATTTGGGATTTGATAAAGGTAAACTTGTAGCTTTAACTATCGGTATTTAAATTTAGTGTCAAAAAGTTTGGGTTTATTTTAAAAAAACAAAATTCCAAAAAAAAAAAAAAATAAACATAATCATTTCTGTTTAAGGTTTTAATCTTTATCATAACAAGCAAAGATATTCTATCAAACATTAAACACGTGCCTGAATATTGTGTAGAAATTCCAAATTAATAGATATTACAAAATTTCTCTTGCAGCGATCAAAACATGTTTAACGTCCCAATGAAAGTATTTCACCTCTGCAACGTTTATGAGTAAAAAAACTCTGTCAACAATTTGTGCTGTTGTTTTGTAGGAAACTTTTTGTTTTTATACGTTTTTCCAAAAGTTTAAAAGAATGTCCTATTCCAAAGACAATTTGTAATCGCTTAGCAATAGTTCAACCATATCAAAACTTTTGACATTCATTCACTGCTTACTTACTCTCCTCCGGCAAATTATTTGCTGTCCCAACTTAGAATAAAAAACAACATTAAGTAAAAGTCTCATAATTAACGGTTGGAGAAGAAGAATTTATGAGAAAATCTGTTATTCTCATAATAAGTTGGGTTGGGTAAATAATTCGCAGTTTTTTTTGTTATTGAAGGTAGTGAGTCAATGGAAAAGTCGAAAACTGCAATCAAATTTTCATTAACTTAATAGCTATAAAGACATCGATACCGAAATAAAGATAGGTCCTTACCTAATTTTTTTTTTGTTTTGTAAATTTTGGGCAGAAAAAATGGGCTTGAAGAAGAACGACTTATGGGGTTATTCTTTGAAAAATTACAAATCAAAAGAACTTAATTTTTTTTTTATCATCATGTAATGAGTAACGTCGACCATGATCCCGAAGGTTCTAGTCCGAAACTCGACGTCGTAATAAAACACGATGAGTTGTAAATGTAAGACTTTAGTGTTCTTAACTACAAAACAACAAGTTCAAAAGTACCAGTCGGTATTGCCGGCAGATATATACCCTCAGCCTGTGTTCGATTATTTAAATATAATTTGACTAGTGCTACAATTATTCAAACGTTTGACCCTCTATGGAGCAAATTCCCAAGGAATGGGCCAATATTGTCCATTTCGTATCGAACCCAAAAATATTATATAAATATTCCGACGTTCCTTGTATGGATTATATCGACTCACTCCTTCACTTTATATGAGATATGTAATAATATTTAGAAAGTGTTAAAATGTGCGTGATTTACAAGATAGAGTCTACCGAAATAGTCCACTTTTATACTTCATCTAAAACAAATAAAAAATATTGAGCGAAATATTTGGCAACAATACAAGAAAGGATATTTATGCCCAATTTTATGCTAAATCATAAATACCGATAAATTTCGTATTCATATCAGGCTTCTTATTGAGAGAAATATTTGAGAATAGAAAGTAGTAAAGTATTGCAAAATTGTTTCGAAAGTTATAACAGATATAATTATCGTTGCATTACATTGTTTAAGAGTTATAATTATTCAAAATGTTGACCCTTTGTGGGGGAGGTACTTGATGGAATGGTTTCTCTTTCTGTGTAAAAAATATATTTTATATATATTTTTTGAAAATTTTTACCTTTTTTGGGGGAGGTACCAAGAGAAGTTGACCGATGTATTGCCTCTTAACAACAGACCTTAGGCTAATAAAATTATTGGGATGTGTGAAATTTGAAGACAATCACATTTTATAAGAGTTGTAATTATTCAAAATTTTGACCCTTTGTTGGGGAGGTCCCTGATGGAGTGGACCGATATTGTCCATTTTCGCACATGACCTAGCACTGATGAAAATGTGAGGATTCGCAAAGTTCGAGCAAAATCGGATTATCCTTTCTCTTTCTGTGCAATAAATTATTTTCTTTTAAAATTTTGACATTTTGTGGTGGGAGGTACCAGAAGGAGTGGGCCGATATTGCTCATCTCCGAACTCGATCTAAGTTTGACAAAAGTATTAGGATGTACCAAGTTTGAATCAAATAGAATACTCCCTTCGAGAGTTCTCGTGCGCACCAGCCAGACAAACAGACGGACGGACGGACGGACGGACGGACGGACGGACGGACGGACATCGGTAGATCGACTCCAAATGTTCTGAAACGAATTTGGTCCAAAGAGACCTAGGGTCTAAAACTATTATTTCGACTAGGCACGTTTTGACCGTATCAAATGATATGTACCCTCTGTAGCCATATGGCTGAGGGTATAATTAAACACGATCATTTTGTTTGTTTACAAACTGCTGGACAACGAAAGTTTTCTCATCAGTTTTTATATGCAGGACTTTTAGTATTGAAATTAGGCTATATTGGGGACTATACAAAGACGTAGACCTAGTCTTTGTATAGCCCCCAATATAACTGTACCTCCCCATATTCGGTATTTCGATGATTTTAGCGACATAGTTCACTGAAATCGTTTCAAATTTCGTAATGACAGTTCGTAATGGGTACTACAGTCTGTGACAGAAAATTGTCAACGTAGATCTAGGTCTTCGTATAGCCCCCATATAACTATTAGAAATTGTAATGATTTTAGTGACATTATTCACCCGAATTATTTGAAGTTCTTAGTAGGTACTACAATCTATGACAGAAAATTGTCTATGCAGCTGCAGGTCTCCGAATAGCCCCATATATATGTGCTTCACTATATTCGGTATTTTGATGATTCCAGCGACATTATTTACCGAAATTGTTTTCAATTTCGTATTTAAAGTTCTTAATAGGTACTTCAATCCATGACAGACATTTTTCTATGCAGTTCCTGGTCTCCGAATAGCTCCCATATATGGGTACCTCACTATATTCGGTATTCTGTTGATTTTTGCGACATTATTCACCGGAATTGTTTCAAATTTCGTTTTTGAAGTTCCTAATGGGTACTACCAGAATTGTTCCAAATTTCGTATTTGAAGTTCCTAACGGGTGCTATAGTCTATGACAAAAGTTGTCTATGTATGTCCAGGTCTTCGTATAGTCTCTAAATATCGGTACCCTATATTCGGTATTTTGATATTTTTGCAACATTATTCACCGGACTTGTTTAAAGTTTCGTATTTTATTTTTGTAATGAGAGAAAAAATGGTTATGCAGGTCCACGTCTTCGAATATAATACCCTATATCCGGTATTTTTAAGACTTCAACCGAATTGTTAAGGGATTCTAATATTTAATTTCTTTGTTCTGAAAATTTCCAAAATTTTTCCTTTTGACCTTAATGCTTTATTACTTGTTAAATTGTTAAAATTTGTTATGTTTCTGCGAAGTAATAAAAGAAGTGGACTCATATTGTCCATCTTAAAATTGCATATAAATATGGCAAAAATATTACGATGTGGAAAGTTTGGACCAAATCGCACCAGCCAGACTCCTATGGCTAAATCCACTTCAAATGTTCTGAAACGGATTTCTTTCAGAAACATGGGTCCTAAACCATTATTTTGATTAGGGATAAATGATATGTAACCTTTCTGACCAGATGACTGAGTATATGTACATGTTTTACATTAATTTTTTCTATTACTTCTGAATGTTCTAAAAGTGTTTATCAAGTAATGTGTTTATGTGCTCTAAGCCGAAAATCGTGTATGGGATATTAAAAACGTTTGTTCGTGTGTTTAATTATTTTGTTTTTTTTTTTATTTTGTGTCTCTTTTCAGCTTAATTAACAAAATGGATTTCATCTTAAGCCATCTACATCGGCCGAAACGGGAGGCCAATTTAAAGGAATTTCTCTCACATCTCTTTGTGGACTGCATGGTAAAGTACAAAAACCAGTCACAGCAGCTAAATGAAACGTCGGCCAGCAGCACAGGTAATTAATTAGTTAGTTAATTTGATCGTGGACACACAATTAATTAACTAAGTGCAAATGTATGAAGCAATTAGACAATAATATATTGCGAAGCACAAATCAATGTTGTAATACTAACAAACCAATGTTGTAATACTAATAATGGTTTTAAGTAAACCGGTATTCTAATAGTAGTAGTAGAAAAATATAAAAAAATTAGAAAATGAGCTGTAACCGATTAAACACGCGAAAAGTGGCTTCGTGAAACTTGTAAAGAACAAAAATATGGTGTACAATTTCGTACTTTTCGTTTCCTAAAAGTAATAATTTGCAAAAGTACAGACTCATTTTATATCCTGTGAAAATATAACAACTCAATAGCAATGTTGTACACTTTAGTACTTTTGTAAAAAAAGCCACAAATACAGATATATCTCAGCCCAAATGCAATTTAATCAAAGTTCTACCTATTTTCAAGCGCTCAATATTGATGTTGTACCGTTAAGAGTTTTTCATACCACTTGATTATAAAAAATCCATCTTTGTTCCAAATTTTTAATTTTAGAAGTCAAATTGTTTATGTTCCAACTCTTACCTGTATTTTAATAATAGTACATACTATTTTGTGCTCCATTGTAGTTTTGATACTTTTGGAGTACAAATTTTCAAAAATTCACAGGATATGTGACCCTTATACCCAGCTTATAAACTTCACATTTTTACATTTTAGATCTTTTAAGAATCAACAAGTCAAAAAGCAGCAACGTTCGGCCGGGTCGAACTTTTAATTACCTCCACCATTTCGAAGGAAATTGATAAATTTAAAAAAAATAAAAAAAAAATTCCACTTAAATGAAAATCTCTACACGAAATCTCACATGGAGGCTATACGACACGAGGACCTGCATACGATTTGTTTGCCATAATTTTGCTGAAATCGTCAAAATACCGTCTATCGGGAGGTACCGTTATATGGCGGCTATATGAAGACTTGGACCTGCATATAAAAATTGTTGTCATAGGCTTTAGTACCCGTTAAGAACTTCGAATACGAAATTCGAAATAATTCCGGTAATGTCGCTAAAATCATGAAAATCCGAATATCGGGAGGTACCGTTATATGGGGGCTACACGAAGATCTAAGTCTGTACACAGAAATTTTTGCCACAGGCTGTAGTACCCATTGGTTTCTTCCAGTACGAAATTTGAAACGATGCCGGTGAATAATGTTGCTTAAATCACCAAAATACCGAATATCGGAACTTACTGTTATATGGGGGCTATATGAAGACGTAGACCTGCATACAAACCTTTTTTCATAGGCTGTAGTACCCATTACGAACTTCAAATACGAAATTTAAATAATTCCGGTTAATAATGTCGCTAAAATCACAAAAAAAAAACAGAATATCGGGAGGTACCGTTATATGGGGGCTATACGAAAACGCGGACAGACATGGCCCATTTACAAACAGCCGGACAGACAGACTGACATCGCTATATCGTCTTAGTATTTTACGCTGATCAAGAAAAAATGTTACTGAACTTGGTATACATAAATATTTAAAAACTGGAGCTCATAAGGTCGGAAATTATGCCGGAAATATACAAATATAGCATTAAATATAAATATAAATATAAATATAAATGAAATTTCAGCAAACTATCTTAAAAAATGCAACTCTATCGAAACTTTAGCGGACGGTCAAACAGATATTAAAGCCTTGGTTTCCTTGTTTAGGGCTTTTGGAGCTGATCTAGTGGTGTCCATCCGACTGTCTGTCTGGCGGACAGGTGCGCACTATAACTCTCGGAAGGAGTATTCGATTTTATCCAAACTTGGTATATCATAATATAATTGAAAATAGCCAGCCTTCGGCCGGGCCTTGAGATTTTATCCTCTGGGTATGTCCGACACCGGCTAAAGCGAACAAAAGGTTTCTAAATTCGGCACTTTTTGTAAATAGCCAAATAATAACTTAGACCGAGTTCGGAGATGGGCAATATCGGTCCACTCCTTCTGGCACCTGACCCACAAAAGGTCGAAATTTTCAAAAAAAACATATTTTCTGCACAGAAAGAGAAGCGATAATTCGATTTTGCACCAACTTTGCAAATATTTATTTAGGTCCGATACGAAATGCACAATATTGGCCCATTCATTTGAAAACCTACTTCATAGAGGGTCAACAGTTTGTATAATCCTAACACAAGTTTTAATGTTCCTAAAATATGCATTAAATAACAAGTAAAAAAGCAGTATGTTCGGCCGGCCGAACTTTGAATACCCTCTACCATTTAGAACGAATTTGAAAAATTTCGAAAAAGATAACATTCGCCAAAAATTATTTTAACATTTTAAAAATACCGAATATAGTCATTTTATTAGGGCCTGTACGACGTGCACCTACATAGGCATTGTTTGTCACTAGGGAGGGGAGGTACCGTTATATAAGAGCTATACGAAGACCTGGACCTGCATAGGCAATTCTCTGTCACAGGCTGTAGCTTCTATTACGAACTTTGAATACGACATCTCAAACAATTTCGGTGAGTATTATACCTAAAATCGTCAAAATACCGAATGTAAGGAGGTACTGATATATGGGGCCTATACGAAGACCTGGACCTGCATAAGAAATTTTCTGTCACGGACTGTAGTTCCCATTACGAATTCTAAATACGTAATTTGAAACTACTACGGTGAATAATGACGCTAAAATCATCAAAATACCGAATATTGGGAGGTACCGTTATATGGGGCTGTACGAAGACGTGGACCTGCACAGACAATTTTCTGTCTTAGGGTGTAGTATCCATTTCGAACTGCAAATACCAAATTTGAAACAATTCCGGCGAATAATGTCGCAAAAATTATCAAAATACCGAATATCGGGAGGTACCGTTATATGGGGGCTATATGAAAACGTGGACCTACATGGTCCATTTACGAACTTAACCTGCCTACTTGCAAAATAGACGTGTGTGCACAATTTAAGCCTTCTATCTCAATTCGTTCGAAAGATAGCGTGATTACAACAGACAGACAGACGGACAGACAGGCGGACATTCCTAAATCGTCCTAGAATTTTAAGCTGGTCAAGAATATATATGCTTTTTTGAGTCTAAGATCATTATTTCGATGAGTTACAAACGGAATGACAAAATGAATATACCCTCCATAGTATGGTGGAGGGTATAAAAAAAACAACTCGCCAGAAACCCGTACCGGGCCAGCTGGAAAAATCATAAAAACGATAAATTGGGGATATAAATGATATAAGTACATGACATTAAATCGATCTAAATTTTCGAAATAATGGTATAGTTTATGGTGTGTTTAACTACAAATCAACGATTACAAGTTCAATACGAGCAGCGAACAATATAAGCTGGATTTTAAAAATAAACAAATCCTTTTTCTGCTTATCTGTCGGGGCTATAAGAAATGACAACCGAAATTGTCCATCTTCGAAGTTGGTCTACAGCAGTATCTCTCAAAGTAAGGTTGCGACCCACTGGAGAAAATATTGTTTGGGCCCCGAAACCTTCTTTGTGGCCAGAAGATTAAATGTTGGAAGAAAGTGCTATACAATTCAACTAGATGAGTCTACCGACTGTCGAGGCTTTTTCTATATTTATACGTTATATATGGCAAGAAAATGATGATGAAAATATTTTATTTCTTGTAATGACTGATGGATCGCAGACTATGTCTATGTTTATTAGATTTAAAAATTTGCTAATATCCAAATTTGCCCTTAATTGGGGGTGCATAAATTTTCACAGATTCAGACACGCTTAAGCAGGGTAGCCATTTCCTCGAGAACCTTTTTGAGGCTATACCTATTCCTTATTTTAGGAAGTCTCTGCGGAAAAAGTAACTTTTGAAGAACTGAATTCTTCATAGACATGTTCGTGTTTGGACAAATGAACGAGGACATTTTTCCCCAAGACAATCTCAATTCAACGTGCTACCTCGTTCACTCTTCCGCTTAGCTGTCGTTGCATTAATGACAAGAATTTCAAGAATTCCACAAAATAAATAAAGTTTAAAGTTCACATGGTTTGCAGCAGTAATTTTCTCCGCAAATAAAATGTCAAACGAAATGTAACAATCAAATTAGTGCCACTCATTGCTGGCAATTGTTATCATTTATTACCTATAACTGTATTCGCATTTTCATCTTCTGTTTTGTCTTTGTCTTCCATTGCAGAATATCCCACAGCAATACCACGTTACGTTGAAGATGCCATACTGAATGAGGGTTCCATCGATATTGAAAATGTCGATGTGACCGATGCTGAACGTAATGAACTGTATGCCACAATAAGTGCAGCTACACTGACACCAAATCTAATTACCACACAAACCGATGCACCATCTGATGCTACCACTCCATCATCGGCCCTGCAATATTCTACCGCTCTCGTGCTAAACGCCAGTGAAAAGGGTTCAACCACAACAACACCATCTACACCCGGTGGACAATTGTTTTGTCCACTTCGTTTCGACGGTTATCTCTGTTGGCCACGTACGCCAGCTGGCACTGTGTTGAGTCAGTATTGTCCGGACTTTGTTGAGGGCTTTAGTAGTAAATTTCTGGCCCATAAAACGTAAGTATCCTGTTGGACATGTACGAAACCTACTTACAACGACAACAACTATGTAAACTATGCGGGTTGTGGGGTTTTCTCCTGCATTTTTTTTTTTTGAGTTTGTTGTCGATGTAGTTGTTGTTGTTGCTACTTCTGAAAGCTGTTTGATAGTGCCGTAGTCGTTTGTAACACATTTGAGTGGCTTACCTTTGGTCTGAGGAATGCTTTTAAAAGATTACCACCAACAGAAATGGTGGTGATGGCAGAAAATGCTACAAAGTTGTCTTACTTAAACATAAATGAGACCTTTGGGTAAAAAGCAAAAGCAAAAAAATATTGTCTGCTCCTTGGTTTTGCCCCAAAGATACTTCGAGACATACTTTTATATTCATAAAGCGTTTTTCCAACATTTCTTTTAATTGTTCCATTCATTTGGGGAATATGGAAAATTGAATGCCAAAAAAACAAGCACGTCCTTTTATGTTTCATTATTCTGCCGAGATTGGCAAAAGTTTATAAAGGAAATGATATTTGAAAGATGAAGATGCAAATGAAAGATGTTTTGGGAAACAAAAATTATTGGATAAAATTTGGATGGAATTTAGTTGCATGTGTTTAAGAAAACTATGTTGAGGTATGTTAACTTTGGTGTTTTGTGGGAAGGGCACTAGTATATATACAGGGTGACATGAAACAAGTTAAAAATCAGTAAGTTCGGCCGGGCCGAACTTTGAATACCCTCCACCATTTGGAATGAGTTTAGAAATAAAATTCTGAAAAAATTTTGTTAAAGTTTTAAAAATACCGAATATTGCCGTTACCGAATATTGTCTATACGACGTGGACCCACACAGGCATTATTTTTCATAAGTCATTACCAAATTCTAATTCGGAACTTGAAATAAATGGTGAATAATATAGCTAAAATCGTCAAAATATAGAATATAGGGAGGTACCGTTATATCGGAGCTGTGCGAAAACCAAGACCATAATTGACAATTTTCTCTCATAGGCTGTAGCATCCATTACGAACTTCACATACGACATTTCAAACAATTTCGGTGAGTAATGTACCTAAACTCATCAAAATATCGCATATCGGGAGGTACAGTTATATGGAGGCTATACGAAGACGTGGACCTACATGGCTCATATTCTGTCTTAGGATGTAGTATCCATTACGAACTTTAAATACCAAAATTGAAACAATTCCGGTAAATAATGTCGCTAAAATGATCAAAATACCGAATATCGGAGGGTACCGTTACATGGGGGCTACACGAAGACATGGACCTACATGGCCCATTTTCTGTTTAGTGCTGTAGAATCTATTAAAAACTTCAAATACCAAATCTGAAACAATTCCGGTGAATAATATCGCTTAAATCATCGAAATACCGAATATCAGGAGGTACCGTAATATGGGGGCTATAAGAAGACGTGGACCTGCACAGACAATTTTCTGTCTTAGGCTGTAGTATCCATTTCGAACTTCAAATACCAAATTTGAAACAATTCCCGTGAATAATATCGCTAAATCGACTCAGAATTTTACGCTGGTCAAGAATATATATACTTTGTTGGGTCTGACATGAGTATTAAGAGGAGTTACAAACGGAATGACAAAGTTAATATTCATTCCATAGTATGGTGGAGGGTATACAAACTGCAACAAAGTCAAACGCCATAATTTTGGAATAAGTTTAGGTTTGTTTGAATTGGTCACCTTTGGCACGAATTATGGCCTTCAAACGAATGTTGATCAGCGGTATTGTGGCCCATTTGCGACGAAGGGTGATCGACACGTTGGTGTTTTTTATTGCCATCTGAAGGTGCACATTTTCAGCTGACCTCTTTGGCAAGTAAACATGATCATTTTGTTTGTTTACATACTGCTTGACAATGAATGTTTTCTTATCGGAGAAAACCAAATTCGGTAGTTCACCACTTTCGGCCAACCGAAGCAACTCTTTAGCTCTTTTGACTCTATTTTCTTTCTGTTGTGGTGTAAGTTCTTGCACTTTTTGGAATTTCAAGGGCTTTACCCCTAGCTCATTTATCAATATCAAGTTTCGTATTGGGTGTTATATGTTCACAAAGATGTTCGAAAGACGTCCATTGTTTAGTATAGCTCCTCCTTAATATCATGTTATGTTCGACAATATTTATGTTTATTGAGAGGTAGAGTTAACCGATATGGCGTACCTTCATTCCAGACCTAGGGGTCATTATTGTATGAAATAGACCCTAATGGTATAAAAACTTATAATCACCAACGATTGCAAAACTAAATAGGTTTTCGGTAAGCGGTGTTATTTTGGAATATTTTTGATGGTTAATTAGAAAAGTTCACAGTGTGTTTTTATGGTTATGGAAATGTATACTAGTGTAACAACTTTATTAAAATGAATAAGGCAGGACTTCAGAAAACTTGGTACTGAAGATAAATTAGCACGGATTAGCAGCATTTTTCTAGACTATCTTCAGTTCAATAGTTGTAGATTTTTTAAGACTTTTCAAAGATCATCTTCAGGTCAATAGGCATAGATTTTTTTAATAATTTTCCAAAGACTGTCTTAAGTGCTTTAGGCGTGAATTTTTTAAAAATTTTCAAAGAATATTTGCAGGTTAATAGACGTGGATTTATTAAGAAATTTTCAAGACTATCTTCAGTTCAATAGGCGTGGATTTTTTAAGAATTATTTAAGACCATTTTCACAACAATAGGCTTCGATTTTTTTAAGATTTTTTCAGGACCATCTTCAGTTCAACAGGCGTGGATTTTTTTAAGGATTTTTCAAGACCATCTTCAGTTCAATAGCCGTGGATTTTTTTTTTTGAAATTTTCAAGACCAATAGACGTGGATTTTTTTAAAATTTTTTCTAGACCATTTTCATTTCAATAGGCATGGATCTTTTTAAGAATTTTTCAAGACCATTTTCAGTTTAATAGGCATGGCTGTTTTTAAGATATTTTTTTGGTCAATAGACCTGGATTTTTATACCCTACAACACTATGTGTTGCGGGTATTATAAGTTTGATTGGGCCAAAAATTATGTAACACCTCGAAATATTGGTTTCCCACATAGGAAAGTATATATGGATCTTCCTATCTCGCCGAGCTGAGTCGATCTAGCTATGTATGTCCGTCCGTCCGTCTGTCCGTCTGTCCATGTTAATTTGTAATCACTCTACAGGTCGCAATTATGGCCCGATCTTCACGAAATTTAGAATGTAGGTGGGGTTGAGGTCAGAATAGAACCCTATTTCTTTTGGAGATGATCGCCAAATGTTTAGGGGTTGAAATGGACCAAATACTGAAAAAATATTGGATTTTGCAGTAGCTATACAGGTCGCAATTATAGACCAATCGACGCGGAATTTCGCATGTGGCTAGAGTTTAGGGCAGGGAAGAAGCCTACCAATTTGGGTGGTCATCGGATAATATTTAGCGGGTAAAATAGACCATATCTTTTGTGTTGAAAAATTCAAAATTTTTCATTAAACCGCCAATATTTTAAATCCCGGCTAAATCACAAAGCCATGACAAGGCTACTTCTGTTCTTTACATTGATGTTAACATCCAACAAATCGGATATGTAGCAAAATATGTGCGATATATATGCTTGAAAGATCTCTTATATGTCGAGAACGGCTGAACTGATTTCGATAGTTCTCATTAATTCAGAATGGTCTCTTGGCAGGAAACAAAAAACGTCTAAAAAAATCGTATAAAAATACCTCTCTAAAGATGAAAATATTGATTTTGTAACATTTTCTCATATTTTTTCAATTTTGTCATATTTTTGGCATATTTTCATTTTGAATTAAACATTTGGTAATATTTCTACAGCTAACATAACTAAGTAGTTAGGATATCAGGATATCATATACAGATCGCATTTATGGCCCGATCCATACGAAATTTTGCATGGGGATAAGATGAGGGTCAGAATAGAAGCCTACTCTTTTTGGAGATGATCGCCATATATTTAGGGGTTGAAATGGACCAAAAAACTGCAAAATTTGTCAACAGGTCGTAATTATTGCCCGATCCTCGCGCACATTTGGATGGGGGTTATCGGACATTGCAAAAGCCAAGCAGTTTTGGATGGCCATCCCAAAAATATTCAATGTGTGAAATAGGTTGCCAACTTTTGTAGACAAAATACCAAAATGTCCATTCCGGTGACTTTTTGGAGAATTCACAAATACAGGAAAGACGCACTTCTGACTATTTCGTTAACGCTGATTTCGTTGCGTTTCAGTCAAAAACCAATAATAAATGTTAATCTTTTGCCACGTCTGAGGGATTATAGGTCTTTGGGAAATATTAGTTCCAGATCTAGGAAGACAATTTATGTGCAACATCTACCAATAAATTGGAAATGAGCAAATTAGTTTAAGTTGCTATTTTTCGAAAATTGGAGAACGAAACCTAATGGTTTTCTTTTATTATTTGTCACAATATCTTGTGGAATTCTTTCGAGTATCTCGCCTATATAAACTGCATCGTTTATTATAGTGTTGTAGGGTATTCAACGGTCGGCCCCGCTCGACTGTAGCCTTTGCTTACTTGTTAGGTTTGGATTTGAATTTTTCAAAGATTTTTTTTCAGTTCAATAGGCGTAGATTTTTTTAGAATTAATCAAAGATTTTATTGGTCAATAGGCGTGAATTTTTAAAAATTTTTCAACGTTTTTTTCAAGTCAATAGGCGTGGACTTTTTTTTGAATTTTTCAAAGAAATTTTTCAGGTCGATAGTCGTAGATTTTTTTAGAATTTTTCAAAGATTTTTCCGGGCAATAGGCGTGGATTTTCTAAAATTTTTTCAAAGACCATCTTCAAGTCAATATGCGTGGATTTTTTAAGAATTTTTCAGGTCAATATGCCGGATTTTTTTATGATTTTTTAAAAATAATAGGCGTGGATTTTTTAAGATTTTTAGACACAATCGTTCCAAATTAAAATAATATTTGTTTCAAGATATCAAATACAGCCTAGAAATACCATTGTAAAATGTTGTCTCCCTTCAATTTAATGTAAATGGTGCATCAAACATGTTAAGATTTGTAATATTATATACCCTAATAATCTATAGCTGTTATATTTGATACGAGAGGATACATGCGACATAGAAACACCTTCGATAAATTTAGTGGCACTAGATTATGTTTTCAAATTTTAATCGCCCAAATATTGGTATCTGTCACCTCAAACCGTATAATACAGAATAAGGCCTCTTTTTGGAAAACTTAAATTGAACAATTTTTGTCTGTCAGCAATTAAGGTCTATCTTCAAATTGAATATTTCCCCCTCAACACAGATAACGAGCACACACACACCTACTCATTTAAATTTCAATTTAATTTCAGTTGTTTAGAAAATGGCACTTGGTATCATCATCCGGACAGTCTACAAGAATGGTCAAATTATACAAACTGTATAGATTACGAGGATTTAGAGGTAAGATGCCGAAACTAGCAATGACACAATTCAAAATTGAATTTCGGCCAAGAAAAAAATTAAATTTGAATATCTTTTCATGTACATCAGTTTCGTACGTTCGTCAATGAGCTGTATGTAAAAGGCTACAGTGTATCCTGTGTGGCATTATTCCTGTCATTGATAATATTTTTGGGTTTCAAGTGAGTAAACAATGCCGAAGTGTAAATTAAATGGATTTCACGCAAATCCATTTGCTCAGTGGTATAGCGTCAATCTTCCAATGTAAACAGTGTTTTTTTTTTCTTATTTATGTCTTTCAATTAAACTTCCACTACAACTTTACTATGGCGTTTTTTTTTTTTCGTTTTGCCTTCTGTTTCAGGTCCTTACGATGCACCCGGATACGTATCCATGTTCATTTGTTTGCATCGTTGGCATTTACATGTATCACCTGGATTATGTGGTATAAACTTATTGTCGAAGATCCACAGATTATACGTGACAATCCGGTAAGAAGACAAACTTTGAGTGCGTGTCTGTATTGCAGTATGTTTGTGTGTATTTTAATTTAAAATGTTAAAGTACATTTGGTTTGTGAGTGTGCGTGTGTGCCGATGACCCTTGAGGTCGTACATCCATGTATGCAATAATACAAATATTTTATTTTTTTTTTTTATCCTTTTCCAATTCTGACTATCGAATGTCAATTCCCAGTACTGGTGCATAATACTTCATTTGGTCATCCACTATTTCATGTTGGTCAATTACTTTTGGATGTTCTGTGAGGGATTACATCTTCATTTGGTATTAGTTGTGGTAAGTACAAAGGGGAAACATTTCCATATATCAACTGTCAAGAAGATTGAAGAGGACTACCATTATGCTTTAATTTCAAAAGGTTATTGAAAATTTAAACAATCGCAATAAATATTTATCGTCCACATTTAATCCCTGTATATTTGGAGTCATGGGAAAGTAATTAAGTCGTTTAAGTTCTTCGGCAGCTATCCATGTCACTATAAGTCCACCACCATGTCACCATAAGTCGTTTTGGACAAGCATAAGTCAGAACAAGTAAAAAAGCAGTAAGTTCGACCGGGCCGAACTTTGAATACCCTCCATCATTTGGAACGAATTAGAAAATTTTCAAAAAAATAAAATCCATTAAAAATTCTTTTAAAATCTTTAAAATATCTAATATAGGAAGGTGCCGATATATGGGAAGATATACGATATTGTGAACCTATAAAGACAAATCTATGTCTGTGTGTAAAGTACTCACAAGGAACTCCTTGTGTGGATTTTCAGATAATTCCATTGGAAAAAGTGGCTAAAATCATCAAAATACCGAATATAGGGGAGTACCGTTATATGGGCGATATACGATATTGTGGACCTATATAGACAATTCCGTTTCAGGGGTAAAGTGCTCACAAAGAACTCCGTGTGTGGATTTTCAGACAATACGATTGGAAATGTGGCTAAAATCATCAAAATACCGAATATCGCAGTGAGCTAGACGTTATCGTTAACCTATATAGAGAATTCTCTGTCGGGGAGTAAAGTGCTCACAAAGACCCCTTTGTGTACAAAGAACCCCTTGTGTACAATGAACCCCTTGTGACCATTCCGTTGAAAAATGTGGCTAAAAACATCAAAATACCGAATATCGGGGGTACCGTTATATGAGGGCTATACGATATCGTGGACCTATATAGATGATTCTCTGCCGAGGCATAAAGTACCCACAAGGATTTTCAGACAATTCCATTGAAAAATGTGGATAAAATCATCAAAATACCGAAAATCGGGGGGGGGGGGGGGGGGACCGTTATATGGGGGATTTACGATATCGTGGACCTGTATAGACAATTCTCTCGCTGGGGCTAAAGTACTGGCAAGGAACTACTTTTGTGGATTTTAAGACAATTCCATTGAAAAATGGGGCTAACTTCATCAAAATATCGAATATCGGGTGGTACAGTTATATGGGGGATGTACGATATCGTGGACCTATATAAACAATTCTTTTTAAGGGGGTAAAATGCTTACAAGAGACTCCTTTTGCGGAATTTCAGGCAATTCCATTGAAAAATGTGGCTAACATCATCAAAATACTGAATATCGGGGGTACCGTTATATGGGGGCTATACGATATCGTGGACCGATATAGCCCATCTTCGAACTTGTCCTGCCTGCAGAAAAAAGAGAAATCTGTGCAAAATTTTAGCTTCCTATCTTAATTCGTTTAGACTTTAGCATGATTACAACAGATGGACGGACGGACAGGGCTAAATCGTCTTAGAAATATACGCTGATCAAGAGTATATATACTTTGTTGGGTCTAAAATGATTATTTCAATGAGTTACAAACGGAATGACGAACTTAATATACCTTCCATACTATTTTTGGTGGAGGGTATAAAAATTTGGAAAAAAAAAATCATAAACATATGATCTACGCCTTAACGAGACAAAAGACAAACATTAACCAGTAAAGAAAGTCTTAAAGTCGGGCGGGCCGACTTTATGATAGCCTACAACACTTTGCTAATTTAGTAGAGCTCCGCATAACAATTAAAAGTTTTTATGGGAGAATTCAATCATACACGCTATGATTATAATTATAATTTAAAGTTCAAAGGACTAATTTGTAGCATTTGTATCTTTTAAATTCGGACTTGTATTGCACATTTGGTGCACAATTAATTTGAAATCGGATAAAAATTTGCTATATATTTCCCTGAATATCGCTGTTACGGAGTGCATATTATGACTGTGGGTAACAAATATAACAAATCGGATGAACAGTATATATGGGAGCTATAGCTGTATCTGAACCGATCTTCACCAAATTTGACATACTAGCTTCTACACTCAATTCGGTCGTGAGTGCCAAATTCCATCCCATTTGGACAAATATTAGACGTTTGGTGCACAATAAAAGGTAAATCGGACGAAGCTATATATGGGATCTATATCCAAATCTGAACCGATTTCGATCAAATTTGGCATACTTATTTTCAGGTCCAATCTGATCGTACGTGCAAAATTTCATACTATTCGAACTGATATTACACGTTTGGTGCACAATAAAAGGCAAATCGGACGAAGATATATATGGGAGCTATATCTAAATTTTGATCAATTATCTCCAATTTCAATAGGGTTCGTCCTTGGGCCAAACTAATGATTTGTGCAAAATTTTTTTTGCGAACTGTACATTGTTTACAAAAATACATGGATAGACTGACGGATAGATGCATAAATCGACTCAGAATGTGATTCTATGCAGATCATCAAAAGGAACTATGGGTCTATCTCGTTTCCTTTTGCCTGTTACAAAGAAGTGCACAAAGACATAATACCCTGACCACCTTGTGGTGTAGGGCTTAAAAATTCAGCTGAGCCTGGAACTTAAAGTAACATTTAGTACTTTTCGTTGAATTTTAGTACTCATTTTCAAAACCGTTCCATATATCAATCCTAGACACCAACAGTTATCTCCAAGACCAAGTTTAATACCATTTAGTACTTTTCGTACAATTATAGCACACATTTCCGAAATCACATCCATATGTCCAGTCCACAAACGAACTGCAACCATAACATCAAATTTCAAGCATTATCTTTTCACCTAAAAATTTACGAAATATAGTACTATATAGTACAATTTAGTACTTTTCGTGCACTTGAAATATACATTTCCAAAATCACCTCCACATTTCAATCCCAGATACCAAGTGGAGGATTTCAGCTCTAACCCTTCACTCGATACTGTAACACTTAGTGCTTTTCGAACAGTTGTAGTATCCATTTCCAAAACCACCTTCATGTATCAAACGTACTATCCAGCTTTGATTCTCATACCAAAATTTTTAGCTCCAACCGTCTATCCCTTTTTCATTCTAAATTTCAGAATTCTGGCTCATTCCGTTTGTTCAATTCAAAGTACTAACTTTTTAGTACATTTTAGCACATTTTTTATCCTTTTAGTACGGATTTTCAAAAACTCTGACTTATTACACGTTTACGCAGCAAGACGTGCAGATTTTAGATATTCCAGTTTTAGCCGGTTCGTCTGGACGTTGATTATATCTTCCTTTATATTTATAAAAGAATGAATGTCTGTACGTTTGATTGTTTGTTTGTTATTTATAGACCCAACAAAAGCTAAACAGATTTTCCTGAAAAATTTCAAATACAGCATTGTATATAGAATTAGCATTGTATAGCATTAGAATCGGAGGTACCTCCAAAAAATTTAGTTTTTGTATACACATATATATTGATCGGTTATAGATACAGTATTCAAATTTGGAATATGACACGGAATTCGATACAAGAATTAACTTTGAAAATCATAACGAAATCAGATCAGATTTGTATATAGCTCCCATATATATACTCGGCCGATCTCACTTATTTAATGCAATAAACACGCTATGTAACTATATTGAAATCAGTACAGATTTGGATGTAGCTACCATATATATTTTCGGCCGATTTCGGGTATTTCATGCATCAAACACGCTATGTATCTCCAATTTCAATAAAATCTAAAATACGCAACGGAATTTTGTACAAAAGCTTATTTGCCACATTATAGAAAAATCGGTTCAGATTTGGATGTAGAGGGTGAGATAAAAACTGCAATAAAGTCATAATTTTTAATTTTTGTACCCTCCACTTTGGAAAGGAGGGTATATTAACTTTGCCATTCCGTTCGTAACATCCCTAAATATTCGTCGTAGACACCATAATGTATATATTCATAATTCAAAGACGATTTAACGATGTCCGTCTGTCTGTCTGTCTGTTGAAATCACGATACAGCACACATTATTTGATGTAGAGCACCAAAATTTAGCAGAGCAATTTTTATTGTGTCTAGGATGTTTGGTATTGAATATTAGATATATCGGCCCACATTTTGGTAGAGTCCCCATATAACGGTACATCCCGATATTCGGTATTTTGATGATTTTTGCCACACTTTTTCACGGATTTGTCTGAAAATTGGTATTTGTAGGTCATAATGGGTCCTAGTTCGTGCGGCGAAACATTGTATGTATAGGTCCACGTTTTGGTATAGCCCCCATATAACGGTACCTCCCTATATTCGGTATTTTGATGATTTTTACCACATTTTTTCACGGATTTGTCTAAAAATTAGTATTTGTAGGTCATAATGGGTCCTAGTTCGTGTGCCGAAACATTGTATGTATAGGTCCACGCTTTGCCTCCATATAACGGTATCTTCCGATATTCGGTATTTTGATGGTTTTTGTCAGATTTTATCACGGATTTGTCTAAAAATTGGAATTTGTTGGTCATAATTGGTTCTAGTGTTTCCATTACCCTGAGGTGGAGGGTATTAAAAGTTCGGCCCGCCCGAACTTAATGATGAAACCGTCACACGCTGCCCAAATGTTGCTCTGCGGTATTTTGGCTAATTTCCGGCGAAACGCTTGCTTGAGGTGATCGACACTTTGGTATTTTTTAGTGCCAACCTTGCTTTCCAAAATACTCCAGACACAATAGTTCAACGGATTGTCATCCGGAGATTTTGGTGACCATTGTGCGCTGGAAATGAAGCGAATAACCTAATTTTGTAACCATTCTTGGGTGGCGCGTGCTGAGTTCTGTTGGAATGTCCAAGAGCTGCGGCCAAAATGTTTGTGTGTCCAAGGCTTTAACACAACCTCCAGAATATTTACGCCATAATATTCGGCATATATTCTCATGCCACGGTCGATTAATACGAGCGGATAGCGACCATCGGCTCTTATGACGGCCACACCATCACCATGGCCTGCGCATGAGTTCTGGTGGCCAACCCAAGGTGCACATTTTTAGCTGACTTCTTTGGCAAGTAAAGACGATCATTTTGTTTGTTTACACACTGCTGGACAACGAATGTTTTCTGACCGAAAAAAAAAAAACAATTCTTTTTCGAAGCGAAGCAACTCTTTAGCTGTTTTGAGTCTATTCTCTTTCTATTACGGTTTACGGGTTTTCTGGAATTTCAAAGGCTTCACCCCGAGCTAATTTTTCAATATTTGCCGAATGGATTATTGTGACATGTTCACCTCACGATCCATTTTTCGGCCACTACGACGGGGGTTTCGATTAAGTCGCTTCTTTACTTTTCGAACCATTTCTGCCGATGTTGCTGTTTTCTTCCGTAACGGTAACGAGCGATGGTACGAAACCCACAAGATTTATTCACATTTAAATGCTGGAGTGCTCTAACGATTGCCACTTGTGGTTTTACAGCCACATATAAAGAAATCACACTATCACGCTTGAATTCCATCACGAATAAATATTTTTCTGGATAATTCTCACTAAAATTCGTTTGTACGCTTGTAAAATATATAAAGAGCTGTCACTGGAATAATTTTAACAGCTATCGGGCTAGTGGCTTAGGAATGACAGCAGTGTGAATTTGCTTGCAGTCATTCCGTTTGTAACTCATCGAAATAATCATTTTAGACCCAACAAAGTATATATATTCTTGATCAGCGTAAAATTCTAAAACGATTTAGCCCTGTCCGTCCGTCTGTCTGTCTGTCTGTTGTAATCACGCTACAGTCTAAACGAATTAAGATAGGAAGCTAAAATTTTGCACAGATCTCTCTTTTGTCTGCAGGCAGGTCAAGGTCGAAGATGGGGTATATCAGTCCACGATATCGTATAGCCCCCATATAACGGTACACCCGATATTCGATATTTTGATGATGTTAGCCACATTTTTCAACTGAATTGTCTGAAAATCCACACAAGGAGTTCCTTGTGGGTACTTTATACCTCGGCAGAGAATTATCTATATAGGTACACGATATCGTATAGCCCCCATATAACTGTACCCCCCGATATTCGGTATTTTGAGGATTTTAGCCACATTTCCCGATGGAATTATCTGAAAATCCACACAAGGAGTTCCTTGTGAGTACTTTACCCCCAGACATAGATTTGTCTATATAGGTCCACAATAGCGTATATCCTCCCATATATCGGCACCTTCCGATATTAGGTATTTTAAAGATTTTAACAGAATTTTCAATGGATTTTATTTTTTTGAATATTTTCTAATTCGTTCCAAATGGTGGAGGGTATTCAAAGTTCGGCCCGGCCGAACTTACTGCTTTTTTACTTGTTTCATCTCACCCTTTATTGTTTTGTATGGTATATAGTTTGTATAGTATAGCGATTCTTTTGAGTCTAAACATCGCTTTAAGTGCTGACAGGTTTGCTATCAAAATGCAAAATAAACGATTGAAAAATCTCACGTTACCAATGACTGTAGCACGATGTGTAAACTATGCTTTAATAATCATTTCGCTATTTCAAACACACTTTAATCGAGGTAAATTTTTTATTTGGTGACGAACATGTTGTGGATTCGTTTGAATTTTACAAAATTATATTTTAGCTGCATGCTCCCCCGCCCCCCGAAAATTAAAAATTAACGTTGAATTCTCCAGTACCCCTTATGTTTTCCACCAAAGGTCTTCGTCAAGGACACCATTGTGATGCGTTGGTTCAAAATCTTCTCCTGGCTATCGCCGTTGATTTTTGTGGCAGCATACGGAGTGGCACGATACTTTCATCCCGAGGACAATAAACAGTAAGTAATTAATATTCATGAGAGCGAAACGAAACGAAAATCTCATATCCTGTTTTTTTTTTCTCCTCTTCTGCTCTGCGATTAAATAAAAACAGTTGCTGGATGAATGATAGTTTTTTGCTTTGGATATTTTCGGTGCCGGTGTGCATATCTTTGGTATCAAGTTTCTGTAAGTTTGTCATTAAAACCAAGAACAAAGTTTCCTTTAGTCAATAATGATTTCCTGTAATCGGGAGCAAATGACATATGTATGTTTTCACCCCCTCCCCTCTTACAGTTTTCCTCATCAATGTCCTGCGTGTTATTGTGCGAAAATTACATCCACAATCAGCCCAACCGGCCCCCTTGGCCATACGCAAGGCAGTGAGAGCCACCATTATTTTGGTAATGTATCCATCCATCCATTATCCATCCACCGTTCACCTGTAATCGATTTATGTTCATTGGACTATAAAATTAATTTCCTCCATCTTTGTTTGTACATTTATTGACAGGTCCCCCTGTTTGGGCTGCAACATTTTCTGCTGCCCTATCGTCCGGATTCCGGCACCCCTTTGGAGCGCTTCTATCAACTGCTGTCTGTCATTTTGGTTAGCCTGCAGGGTTTTGTGGTGTCATTCCTGTTCTGTTTTGCAAATCATGATGTGACGTTTGCTGTGCGTAGTCTGCTAAATCGTTTGATGCCCAGCATTGTGTCACCGCCACCTCCGACGAGCAGCACAGGTCAAGTGGCCACAACTACTCCCAGTCGGGAGTTGGGTGTTTAAGAGATCAATCTGTTTGGACATATAAAAATGTCATATATTTCAACATAAATGTAACCCTCCAAATTAAATGTACAACCTATATGACACATGATAATATTAAGAAGAACAAAAAAAAAAAAAAAAACACATGAACAACAAAGCATATAATCGTACCTTACGCATCTAATAGAGTTTGATCTGTTTAGGTTCGAAATCTCTAGAGAGAAAAAATCAACTATTTATAATTTTTTTCAGTATCCGTGCATTTATTTTCGAACATTCTCTACTATTATTAATTATTGTGATTATGAAATATTAATACTCTACCTGATAACAAATATAAAAAGAACAAATAAAGATGTATGTATATGTGTGAATGCAGTATGTATGTATAGTCTAAGTGAAAAGAAAATGTCTCGTTATAACTTATATGTAACAATAAACTATATTAAATCTATGGTTTTATTCTGAATGATCCATGAGGGAAGGTGTATATTCGATATGGAATTGAAGGTAAGTTTAGCCATAGCCATTTGAGTTTACATCCGCACTATCCTCATACACACCGAAAAACACACCGAAGTAAGTTATACCCTACTCTCAATAAATCAGTTCTGAAAAGCAGTCGATCAATTGTTTAAACACTTGAGTGGTATTTTTGTTTTGTTTCCCTGATGGGCGGAAAATATTCCACCTTTTGGAATATTTAAAACTCCGATTTCAAGTATTTTTTTATGTTTTTGTCATGTTTTCTGTTTTATTTGAAATTTGGCCATTTTGAGTTCTTCTTATGTCGAAACGGTATTTACGAACAAAAAAAAACAGTAAAGAAAGTCTTAAAGTCGGGCGGGGATGACTTTATGATACCCTACTCCACTTTGCTTTTTTAGTAGAGCTCCACATAACAATTAAAAGTTTTTATGGGAGAATTCAATCATATACGCTATGATTATAATTATTATTTAAAGTTCAAAGGATTAAATATGCCGAAGCATTTGTATCTTTTAAATTCGGACTTGTATTGCCCATTTGGTGCACAATTAATTTAAAATCGGAAAAAGATATATATGAGAGCTATATCCAAATCTGAACCGATCTCGATAGAATTTAGCAAAGATATTTCTGAGCTGTATTTGATATATTTCCCTGAATATCGTTGTTGCGGAGTGCATATTATGGTTGTGGGTAACAAATATAACAAATCGGATAAATAATATATATGACATACTAGCTTCTAGACTGAATTCGGTCATAAGTGCCAAATTCCGTCCCATTTGGACAAATATTAGACGATTGGTGCACTATAAAATGTAAATCGGACGAAGTTATATATGGGAGCTATATTCAAAACTGAACAAAATTTCATACAATTCAGGCTGATATTGCACGTTTGGTGCACAATAAAAAGCAAATCGGACGAAGATATATATGGGAGCTATATCTAAATTTTGACCGATTATCTCCAATTTCAATAGGGTTCGTCCTTAGGCCAAACAAATGATTTGTGCCAAATTTCATCTGGATAAGGCAATAAATGCGAACTGTACTTTGTTTACAAAAATACATGGACGGACGGACAGACGGACATGCATAAATCGACTCAGAATGTGATTCTATGCAGATCATCAAAAGGAACTATGGGTCTATCTCGTTTCCTTTTGCCTGTTACAAACAAATGCACAAATACATAATACCCTGGCCACCTTGTGGTGTAGGGTATAAATAGCGAATATCGGGGGTACCGTTATATGGAGGCTATACGATATCGCGGCTCCTCTTCGAAGTTGACCTGCCTGCAGGAAAAAGACTGATCTGAGCAAAATTTTAGCTTCCTATCATAGACGGATGGACAGGCGGGCGGACGAACATTGCTAAATCGTCTCAGAATTTTATACTGGTCAAGGATATATAAACTTTGTTAGGTCTTAAGTTATTACTATGTATAATGAATAACGTGAAGATATACATTACCTGTAGTAACAACATAAAACCACACCCATTGTATCAATAGTAACAACAGCAACAACCACTACAAGACTTCAAGAACATGCGACGATAACTGTTTGATCGAACCACCCTAGTATTTGTTGGTCACGTAATGGACACTTCTGTTTTCGGCTGTATGCCGTTTACCGCATAAGTCGAATAATTCTGATTGTCTTGGTGGGACCGGTCATATGTAGTGTTCGGCTTGGGCTACGACGAGACAGGCTTGCCAAAGGGTAGCTAGAGATTTCCTGAATCATTTGCCGTCTTCCGACGGTTTTCGGCTAGCTGTTCCGTATCATAGTCAAATATTGGTAGTTGAATAGAGGAAGTTATAAACCGTAGCTAGAATATTTACCTGGTCATTGTAGACAACCCAATAGCTAAACCTGAGCTAATCCTCAGCGAGCTGACGAACCCGAATGAGACCCCGTCTGCGAAACGAGTTCTGGTCTATCTGCCCACACAACGGCAGCCGATGCTATATATTCATTCTGTGAGCTGTCAGATCCAAACGAATCTCAATCCGTCTACGAAGACCTGGGCAGCCGCTTCCGAGTATTTCCACAGTGTACTGCTAGAAATTATACCACAAGTCTCCAATCCGTTTCTGATGACCTGCACATCAATATCCCAACCACCTATATCGTAAACCCTGATTACCTCCAAATCTTCAAAATCCCGAACCCAGACGTCATATAGAGCACCAACCTCATTTTTCCTGGTATCATTGAACCCGTCACATTTAAATTGTCGACATCCTGATCGCAACATCGTAACTCTTCCTACGATCCGATCTTCCGCACAACTCAATATTTGACAACCATACACAAGCGCCACACCCGAACGCCGAACCCAAGCATCGTAATTCCTGATCTCTCGCAGCAATCAACATTTGGCCGAACACAAGCATAGTAATTTCCGATCTTCCTCATTTGTCAACCTCCGACGGTAATCCACGAGAACCGGATAAAAAAAATGAACAGATATTATCCATATTCAATACCAATATTTCTGGATGTATTCCAGAGATGGTCAAAACTATGTAAAGCCCTAATAAATATTGTCCTAAGAATTCGAAATTCCTTTGAGATTTTCATATAGAACCTTAGTGCTATCAAATCTGCTTTGAATTTTCTAAAGGCCAGACTGGAAAGAATGGGGAAATGTACTATATTTTTTTCAAAAATAAGCAATGCCTTTTATTAACAAAAATTGATGATATTTTCATAGTACAGTACGTCCTCTTAAGTTGATTATTTATTGACTATATTAGTATATACTCACATAAAGTACGGCTTTAAACCCAAAATGTGTTTTAATATATGCATTTCTGGCGTTTAGGTAAGCTGTGAATTTTGACGTCGTCTAGTAGAATTTTATGATAAATAATTTTGTAGAATTTTTAGATGAGCTACAACCTCGCTTCAAGGTAATTTTAATCATAATTTCAAAAAAGAACAAAAAATACCCCTTTGTTGACTCACTTGAGGGCTAATATTTTAGACCTAAATAATCTTCGTGTTTTGTCGGCAGTATTTTCGTAGGCACTGTATACCCAAAATCACGAAATTCCAAGAAATCTTAATCCGAAAATAACAGAAAAAGTGGAAGCAGCGGAAACTTATCCCCTCTGTTTATGTTACTTTGCAATTTTAAACAAGTAAAAAGCTGTAAGTTCGGCCGGGCCGAACTTTTAATACCCTCCATCATTTGGTACAAATTTGGCAATTTCCAAAAAAAAAAAAAAAAAATAAATAAATAAATAAAATCCGTTAAAAATTCTGTTAAAATCTTAAAAATACCGAATGCCTATACGATGATGAAGACCTGCATAGGCAAATTTTGTCATAAATTATTACAATATTTAAATGCGAAACATGAAGAAAAATCTGTTTATAATGTAGCTAAAATCATCAAAATATCGAATATAGGGGGTACTGTTATATTGGGGCTATAGGAAGACGTGGACCTGCACAGACAATTATCTGGCATGAGCTAAAGTATCCATTACGAACTTCACATGCGAAATTTGAAACAATCCCGGTAAACAATGTCACTAAAATCATCAAAATACCGAATATCGGGGGGTACGGTATATGGGGGCTATAGGAAGACGTGGACATACATGGCCCATTTTCTGTATTATGCTGCAGTATCTATTACGAACTGCAAATACCAAATTTGGAACGATTCCGTTATATAATGTCGCCAAAGTCATCAAAATACCGAACATCGGGGGGTATCGTTATATGGGGGCTATATGAAGACGTGGACCTACATGGCTCATTTCTTTATTTAGGATGTAGTATCCATTACGAACTTCAAATACCAAATTTGAAACGATTCCGGTAAATAATGTCGCTAAAATCATCAAAATATCGAATATCGGGGGGTACCGTTATATGGGGGCTATACGAAGACGTGGACCTTCACAGGCAATTTTCTGTCTTAGGCTGTAGTATTTTTTACGAACTTTAAATGCTAAATTTGAAACAATTCCAGTGAATAATGTTGCTAAAATAATCAAAATACCGAATATCGGGAGGTACCGTTATATGGAGGCTATATGATAAATTGGACCTACATGGCCCATTTACGAACTTAACTTGCCTACTGGAAAAATATCGCTAAGTCGTCTTCGGATTTTACGCTGATCAAAAATATATATACTTTGTTGGGTCTGACATGAGTATTTCGAGGAGTTATAAACGGAATTACAAAATTAATATACCCTCCATACTATGGTGGAGGGTATAAAAACGCTGATACACGTATCTCTTTTAAACTCTACTTTCATAATCTGCTAGATCTTCCCTGTAATTATTCAAAAAATTAAATTTGTGTTAAGTTTTAATGTTTCTAATAAACATTTCATTTCGCAAAGTTCTCAATAGATGCGGTTCATACCAACTTTAAATCTATTCCGTTAAAAATTCGGCTAATTGATCCAACCGATTCGTAACCGATTTAATCCAAGCATGGTACAACGTATTGTTTTTTTTAAACTTAGATCGAGTACAGAAATGGGTAATATCGGCCCGCTACTTCTGGAACCTAGCCCACAAAAGGTCAAAATTATCCTAGAATATAATTTACCGCATAGAACAAGAATGGATCATTCAATTTTGTACAAACATTGTAAATCCAATTGTTTGTATCTGCGCTAAGTCTGGCGTAGTAATGGACATTATCGGCACACTTCATTGAATTGATCAATGTTCTGTGCTCGCAATTAAACAACTCACACGAGTTCTTTGTTTACGAACCAATTTTGAATTGTCGACAACGGGACGATCATCTCAGATGAACATAATCGGTTAGATTTGATTAGAACCCTATTCTAGATCTATATAAGAGGGGAATGTTTGTCTTGTTTTGTAATATATCCGCTCGAAAACCGCTGCCTAACGTCTCCAAAATTGGAAT